TGCGACTACCATATCCTCTAGAATAATTGTAATTGAGGCCACTGTTATCTGAGGCAGTCAATGACGAAATTGGGTGTATGACTTTAGGAACGATAGCTCTAATTGACAGCCGTGGTGGGCGATCTTATTTTGATCTTTACAAGTTTTTCAAAAGCTTTGAAACCTTGGAGGAAGCACTGGTAGGGTGAGGAAAGTGAATATGATTATTTTTGTGCGCCAAGCTATGCACCAAGGGCGTCCCAAACTGCTAGCTGGCAATAGCTATCGTTCATAAAGTCTGCCACCCACAAAATTTTGTCAAAGAGTAGGTTCAATAAGTTGGAAATGTATCTCAACTAAGCATAAAACTATAAACGTTAAGCACATACCTCTTTAGCCTCAGCCATCTTTTGAGCTTTCTCCTGGGCTGTCTCAGTGGTATCTCCCGCTATCTTAACGTCAAGAAATTATCTCATCAAACTATTCCAGAAAAATCTAGAGAAATTACCCCGTGTCCATACTCTTTCCATTCTGCCTTATCTTTGGCGGCCTCAGCCGTCTTCTCAGCCTCAGATTTTATATCAGAAACTTTTTCAGCTGCTTTGTCCTTCACCTCAACGGCTGTTTCCTTAGCGCTATCCATCCAGTCAGATGCAGTTTCCTTAGCTGCTTCAGCTTTCTTTCCAGCTTCAGACTTCAGATCCGACAATGTTTCAGCAGTCTTGTCCTTAGCCGTCATTGCTTTTTCCTGGGCGCTTCCCAACAATCCAGCAGCCATGTCTTTGGCTGCTTCAACTTTCTTCCCAGCTGCCGAAGCCACATCTGACAATGTCTCCGCAGCCTTATCCTTCGTGTCAATAGCTGCCTCCTTAGCAGCACCTAGCCAATCAGATGCGGTGTCTTTGGCTGCTTCGGCCTTCTTTCCAGCTTCAGATTTGAGCTCTCCCAACTTTTCAGCAGCCTTATCCTTCGTGTCAACAGCTGCCTCCTTAGCAGAACCTAGCCAATCAGATGCGGTGTCTTTGGCTGCT